GGAGGGAGAGCGTCAGGCAGGCCGGCCCGGGGCCCCCGCCCCCGCGCCCCCCCGCCCGATGGGGAACGCTCCGTCCCAAGGTCAGCCATCTGGACGTGGAGGGAGGAACTGCCGAGTCTGTTGTACCCAAGATGAGATAGAGCCAAGGCCGCTTCGCCTAATTATCAGACCTTGAGAAAATGCTCTGTACCTCATTAAATTGTCCAATAGAATCCCTGTAACTATGCTTTTCGCTTCTGCACTGTGCTTTTTGCTATATAAGGACCTCTCTCCCTTGGCTCGGCCCGCGCTTGGCCCCACCGGAGCTAAGTCACCCCGGGTACCCGTGTTTCCAATAAAACCTCTTGCGGTTTGCATCCAAGTCTGTGGTCTCGCTGATTCCTGGGTATGGGTCTCCTTCTGCGAAAGTACCTCTTCTGGGGTCTTTCACCTCTATTCCAATTCTTCCCTTACCCCACTCACTGTTCCCTCCCAATAGCATGTGCTCTTTATTTTCTTCCAATCCCAGAGTTCACGGAATCATGGGTAGTCTCCCAGAAGCTGCACTCTTGAAGAAAACTGGCTGTCCCTGTCGAAGTGGGATTTCACAACTGTCTTCCTTCTCACTAGGGGAGTATTGTCTGGTGAATACAGTCTTGTGCCTACCGCCACAACTGCTATGAGTTCACATTGACAGGATACTTCTCTTATGCCCCCAAATACTGTTTCACTCTAGTCATCCATGGCCTCTGACTCTTAGAATTTTCCCACGTGTAACAAGTAACTTGTAGATGAAATACTTTCAAATAAAAATCACCCATCATAGTTGTCCTTTTAACTGTGATATTCACACACAAAAGAAGTTTTTGTAGGTGGAACAATTTTTATTTTTCCCTTTATATTTTTTTAAATATTTTGACCAATGTGCATATTCGTGTTGCTTTTATAAATCAGAAAAATAAATACAGAGCTATTGTTTCAAAATCACCTGCTCTTGGGTTCATTGCAGCTGTAATGGCCTCTCAATTTCCCTTACGATGAGTTGTATCTATTCATCTGCTTGTTTTTGTCCTTTGTTTTCCTGAACTGTAACTATGCCTTGCCTTGGGCTCTTTTGATCAACACTGTTATTGTTTTCCATGTCCTACTGAAATAATAATGTGCTTTGTGTGATTACTGACCTCCTCAACTAAAAAGAAAATGAATCTGAAAAACATCCACTTGAAAAATTAGAATGTTACAATAACAACCTGCTCCAAAAACACCCGGAGAAGTTTGGCCTTTTAAATAATGCTAGGGAAAAATCTGTAATAGCAATGCAACCAAAGTGAGGAATCAAAGGAAGGACATAACCCACTCCATGGGAAACTAAGAAACTGAGCAACTAGTGTGCACCATGAATCCCTAGACTGTTTCCACACTGCAGGGAATTTCCTCATTTAAGGTGTCAGACATCTGAAGAAGGAAGCTGGCTACAACTCTCAGGTGTGTGCCCACAATGTCTCTAGGCCCAGTGTGCAGAGAGCACATAGAGACATATCCAGGGGATCTGCTCTGCTAGACTGCAGTGCAGAACGTTAGTGTTTTCCTAAGAAAAGCAGTTGGACCTGAAGACAATGTGGAGAGGCTTGTGTTCACATAGAAAATGAGTTTCCACACTGTTGAAGTGATAGCTTTCAAGAAAGACATTTGACTTTACAAGCAGATGTGTGGTGTTACTGGAGTTGAGAGGGTCAAAGGCTGCCTGGAAGCCTTAACAAGTTAGGCTTGAACCGCCCCCCCCACACACACCCCACCCCACTCCCTGGTCCTTAATACATCTAATGCCTCCATTAAGAGACATGGAACTGTGAAAAACAGGAAAGCATTTCATTCACTGTGGCAACATTGAAAAAAAGAGCAAAGACATCCAATGACCCTCCCCCTACCTCTGCAAGTCCATCTTCAGGCACGAGGCATGAGGGTTAGATTTAAACAAGGCACAAGGTATGAATGACTAAGCAGCCTTGGTCAAGGTTGTGGCCCAGCCCAGCACTGACTGACCTAGCATTCTCTCTGTCACTAAATGAAATAATGTTTGAAGGGACCCTTCTTCTCTCTGTCTCTCTTTCTCTGTGAACAGGGCTACTTCGAGAAAAAAATCTAGGATCTTGTCTCAAGGAATTATAAGAAATATTTATAACACTATGAGAAGAAATGTGTTCATTCTAATCTCATTTATTAAAATTATGAAATAGGAGATTAGCCCCCAAATTCAAAAAGAGGTGTTTAAGAATTAAAAATCAAATGTATAAAAAACGTTTAGAGTAACTAATAGAAAATACATAAATATGTCTGAAGTAACTTGAGGATTTACCTGCCACATTATCTATCAAAATGACAATTTAAAATGGACAATATAGACTGATTTTAATTTAAATTAAACCTTTAACTAATACATTAAAACATTTATGTTAAGAAGGTGAAACATGGCTAGAAATTTAGTTCAGTCAATAAAGTGCTTGCCTCACCAGCTAAGGACCTGAGTTCAACCCTCAACACCCATGGCAAAATGACAGGTACAGAGACACACACCTATAAGCTAATCACTGGGCAGGCAGAGATAAGAGGATCTCTAGGGCCTGCTTTACAGACAGCCTCACCTAACTCCCGAGCTCTGGCTTCAATGACAGAACCAGACTCAAAGGAGACAAGCAGTGTTTATCAAGATAAACCTAAGGTTTTACTGGTCACACACATTCTCACACTCAAATTCACACACACACACACACACACACACACACACACACACACACATTCATATCACAAATAAAAAAGGATGAAATCATAACATTTGCAACTAAATGGATATAGTTGGAGATCATTAATCTAAATGAAATAAGCCAGTCACAAAATGATAAGCACTATATTATCTCACCCATATGTGAAATATTAAGGAGGTGATCTCATAGAAATTGAGGGTAGAATGGTGGTGTGTTAGGGTTCTGTTGCTCTGAAGAGACATCATGACTGTGGCAACTCTAATAAAGGAAGACATTTAATTGGGACTGGTTTACAGATTCAGAGATTTAGCCCATTATCATCATGGCAGGAAGCAGACAGGGTGCTGGAGGGGTAAGTGAGAGTTTCACATCTGGATTCACAGGCAGCAGGAAGAAAGAAACACTGGGGCTGGCTTAGGCTTTTGAATGCTGAAAGTCCACCACGGTGAAACACTTCTTCCCACAAGGCCACACCTACTCAAAGTAGGCCATACCTCCTAATCCCTCTCAAGTAATTCCATTCCCTGATAGCCAAGCATTCAAATACATGGAAGCCTTTAGGAGCCATTCTTAGTCAAACTACCACAGGTGGTTACCAGCAACGAGGGAACTGAGGGCCATGTGGATGTTGATCAATGATGAATGTGTCACATTAACACAGGAGTAAGAGGCCTGGTTCATTATCCCATAATAAACTCACTATAGATAATGATAATATACTGTATATTTCAAAAGCTATAAGAAAAAAGTTTAAATGATGAAAGTCTGATGAGATATGAATTTTAACAATGATGGCCCTGTTTTCATATAGAGAATAACCAAAGTACATGTAGAAAAATTATCAGTCATCATGGCCGAGGAACCAAAGGAAGTGTCTTTTACTTTTGCCGGAGGAATGGCTCAGAAGTTTAGAGCATTGGCTGCTCTTCCAGAGGTGCTGAGTTCAATTCCTGGCAACCACATGGTGGCTCACAACCATCTATAATGCAATCCGGTGGCCTCTTCTGGTGTGCAGTTATATATGCAGCCAGAACATTGTATATATAAAATAAATCTTTAAAAAATACATTAAACCGCCATTAGCCAGGCAGTGGTAGCGAACGCCTTTAATCCAAACACTCCAGAGGCAGAGGCAGGCAGATCTCTGTGAGTTTGAGGCCAGCCTGATCTACAGAGATAGTTCCAGGACAGCCAGGGTTACACACAGAGAAACCCTGTCTTGAAAAACCAACAAGTTTTTTTTTTTTTTTTTTTTGGTTTTTCATGACGGGGGTTTCTCTGTGGCTTTGGAGGCTGTCCTGGGACTAGCTCTTATAGACCAGGCTGGTCTCAAACTCACAGAGACCCCCCCTGCCTCTGCCTCCCGAGTGCTGGGATTAAAGGCGTGCGCCACCAACGTCTGGCTGCAAGTTTTTAATATTAAACAAAACCAATTTATTTATTATCAAAATTTTCTAAATACATATTGTATTGAAAGACCCCCAGAGGCTCAGGACCCCAGGATTTCAGTCCAGGACCACAAAGACCCCAATCACCAGGCAGAGGCAGAAACTTGATGCAAACAGCAGGAGGCTTTATTGTAGTTGTTTAGCGAGCTAACCCCATGTTATCTCGGGCCTTTCATCCATCCAACAGGGAGGATGGCTAGGAAAGATGGCGAGAAGCCCCGACATAGAGATCTTATAGGGCAGCATAAGGGTAGTGTCTAGGGGTAAGCACAGGCTCAGGATTGGTGACCCTCCAGGCTTGCCCTGTGTTGATTGGTCAACTGGTTGTTCTGGCCCATAGGTCCTCCTAGGGCGGTTGCTATGCTCTGCACGTCATTGCTGTGAACTTACTTGTCTATAAAGCACACCCAGAGCCATAAAGCATAGCACTACCAGTTAACTTCTGATTGGTTGCTTGCCATGAGGCAGGCATCTGACCTCCTAGTGACCAAGGCAAGGTCAGGCAAGCACGTGCTAGGCTGTTATGGCTGCTGAAATGGGAAGCTGGTCCCTTCATTATCATTAAGTATATTAAATGTGTAAGCAACACACATGCATTTATGTGCTTTCTAAGATCATCCAACTGCTATATAGCAATAGATACAGAAGTAGGGAGGCAACACACTCATAGCTTTCAACTCTATGAACTAGTGCTTTGTATTGTCCTACAAACTGGTACTCAGCTACTTTTAAAAGCTTAAATCTGTAATAGTTTTTAGTAAATCTTAAAACACAGAATGTTAAAACCGAAGGCCTCAAATTGTTATGGAATCTTTTAATACATGATAGTAATGTAATATTGCTTGTAAAACAATCATTGTACTTACAGCATCGTATATGTTATGCAGTTTTTCTTAATCCTTTGGATAACTGCAGAGTACTAAAATAACTTTGCTTGTGTTTTCCATACAGAATGATCAACAAGTATTTCTGGAATACCACTTATAAGCCAGGAGCTTTACAGACACCAAATATTTAGCAAACCAAGAAAAATCGTGTTTTGCACAAGTTCTCATTCTATAAGAAAAACAAACAAACAAGAACAACAAATTCCAAACAAGCACAATTTCACAGTGTACAAAAACTGATACGTGTTACAGAGAAAAATAAGCAAGGGAGAATAAATAAGCTGTATTATGAGAAACAGCAACACAGTTTTCGATTTCACTATACTTCATTTGTTTACTAAGATTTCTTTGTTTATCTGTGTTATGATAAATATTTCCGCCAAAAGCTGCTGAGCCCCATGACCATGTGTGCACTTTACGCCAGCCTCCTCCTGAGTTAGGGCCCCAATTAATGCACAGAGAGAACTTGTATTATGTACAAATGCTGCTTAGCCAATGACTAGTAGTCTCATCTGTTAGCTCAGTCTTAATTATCATAAATCTATATATTTTATAAGACTTATCTTCTCGGACACCTTCCATTGGTGTCCTCCCTTGCCGGTGGATCACATCTTGCCACTGGAGGAGGAGCCAAGGGGAAAAGGGCCCACTTCCTGTTAGTCCTTCCTAAATATGAATCTCCCTGCTATGTCACTTCCTGCCTGGATCACCACTTCTCTATTACATTTCCCCGAATCCTCTTTGACTCCTAGTCCTGCCTAACTTGTTGCCTCATTGGCCAAACAGTACTTTATTTATCATCCAGTAAGACAAACACATACACAGAAGCACTTCCCCCCATCATATCTGTTCT